AAATCAGGACATTGTTTGTCAGTGTTGCTCCGAATCCTGAGTGATCTTTTCCTCATTTTCACCCTGGCAAACATTTGCTGTATAATTTGGCCAATCGTTTCCATTCTGTGTATTTGTATACTGTCACAGTGTCTTAAACTACAGGAGTTAAATACTGAGTTTTTGTTTTTGTTTGCTTTGAGCAAGCTAGATGGATGTTTTGGCCATTATAATGTGAAACCACTTCTTTCTTTACAGTATTTGACCAAATTTGTGTGTCTATGATATTTGTTAATACATGCAATATCTGTATTTCTTATCATAAGCCTATTTAGTTTTATTCTCAGTAGGGTTTTTCGGACTGTACAGTGTTTATATGATCTGAACTCCTTATACATAAGAAGGTGTGTATATTAATCCAGTTATGGACTTAAATATTTTAAAATATAAATACCCTTATTTGCTGCAAAGACCAGTGTGTAGACATTTGCTTTTTAGCAATATTTTTAAGTGCTCCATTTTAATGCCAAGGAGTAAGTCTTTTGGCAACACAAACTGGTCAGTAATAGGTAATGCAGGTATGTTCAGGTTAGGCCAACAATGTTTTGCATTTTTATGCTTCTTTTTTGTCAACACTAATGAAGTCAACATTGCCTGAATGTCTGAATAATGAAACACATCCCTGTTTAAAAGTATGTAACTGAAAAAGAAATAAAAAATAAAGGTAGTTTTTCTAAACTTGCTCTTTCCCCTTTCCTCTAATAATAGTGCCATTCGCTGTGGTAGAAATTGTAATGATTCGATTCATTTAAACTGTTGTATGTAGGAAGCAGAGGTAAAGGAATGTGCTTTTGGTTTTCGTTTGTTTGGCTTGGTTTGGTTTGGTTTTGCTTTTCTTTGTTGGAACACATACCAGGAAGGATCTAAGATGTCTTTGTTATTTTGTTTGTTTTACATTTCTCTAAATGAGTATGGCAATTACTAGGCACTTATTAGGTAAAGCTGTCTTGTAATCCAAGATAAACTGTTACTCCATTTTGAAAATGAAATCTTACTGCTGTCTTCTGAAGCTCAGCCTTATTAATCCAGTTTTAAATGAATAATTTTAAAGTCATTGCATACAGCACATACTTGGGACGGTAACTTAGTTTATCATTATTCTAGAACCTTTGAGGGGTTTTACCAAATGATATTAATGGTGCTCTATTTGTAGGTAGGTAAGGCAAAAGAGCACATAATCGCGTGTCATTAACACCAGGGACATCAAGCAGGAGCAGCACCAGGCATGGTGTACATGCCTGTGACCCCCTGCTGTTGAGGCAGAGGTAAGAAGACTGCAAGTTCAAGCCTTGGCCTTGGCTACTTGGTGACTTAGCAAGACCGTGTGTCAAACAAAAGGTCTGGGGATGTAGCTCAGTGGGATGTGAAGATTACACAACTTTTTACAAGGCCCAATCTAGAAAAACTGGAGTTCCAATCTCAGTGATTGAATAGTTGCATTAGTGAAACCCTCTGAACTGAAATGATAGAAATTTAATGTGGCTGGCTGAGTGTGGTGGCACACGCCTGTAATCCCAGCACTCGGGAGGCTGAGGCAGGAGGATCCCTGTGAGTTCGAGACCAGCCTGGGCTACATAGTTCCAGATCAGTCTGAACTATGTAGTGAGACCCTGTCTCAAAACAAAAAAAATTTAATGTGACTTAAAAGGAGGTACATTATATCATTTTAACTGTCGGGTCCACTGGTAAAACTGGCTTTAGGCATGTGTAGTCCTATTGTCAGGATACAAAGCTGGTTTTTTCCATATCTCTTAGTGTTGCATTTTACTCTGCTGTTTTTACTTTCTATGTAAATGATAAAGTGGTCTCTCAGAAGCCTGAGGCATTTTCTCTACTGTCTTAGTAGCCACAGTAAACACAAAGAGCCGTTTTTCTCAACGGTTCCAACAAAATCCCAGTGCTCACATTTCCCCCTTTGGTTTACATGCCCAGCTCTGAGGCAATGATATGGAAAAGGAACATTATTTTCTCAAAGACTTCCTGTCGTGGGCCCGCATTTAGAAGACACTTGGACTAAGGAATGAGTTTGAAGAGGTTTCCGCCCAAAAATAAAGGATGTTGTAATCAGAAGGAGAACGGATACTACTGAGCAGAGAAAAATAAATAGAAATTGAGTCTATTTTATATTTATGCAATGAGAAAACATTTCCACAAATATTTTATTAGTGAAATTCCAAATACATTAACACTTGAATGCATTTTATAATACCAGTCGTACTAATGTTAAGAATTTATTTTGAAGGGACACTGTTTAATTTGAACCGTTAAATGGTTTTTGAATTAAAGAAAATTTCCCCTGCCATATTATTGAGGTTCAAAAACGCATTTGGAACTACAGTTAAGTTTTGAATCACTGCAAATTTGTGTGAGGATGGGGATCCTTCTTTAAGGAACACGGAGATTGACAACACGGAGATTGTGTAGACCAACTTGACGTTACTTGGATTTCATACAGGATTAGTTATCAAAGTGGCTTTGTTGCAGTGTCTCCCAAGAAGGTGCTATTTTGCATTGAAACTTTAGTGTTGAATTTATGAAGAAACATCAATTCTGCAGCAAAAGCAAATTTCCAAACCCATCCAATATTCAGAAACAGTAACTGAGTATGATTCTTCCTACTGATAAAAATTCAGTATTATTCCAAGCAAAATAATAAAAATTAATAAAGCTTTGCCTATGCCATCAGATTGCTCTGTAGCTGGCCAATGAGGATATTCAGCTTTGATTTCTGATAAAACTTAACATCTTATGATGGCTAATTAAAGCGTCACCAATCCAGTAATATGACAGATTTAGATAGTTTTCACAAAATACCTTCTGATGGATGGCTCAATGTGTAACAACTTCAGAGCTTTGTAGATCTAAGTGTGTGTGTGTGTGTGTGTGTGTGTGTTTCCTACTTCACCTGTATTTCTCCCACCATCAGTTGCAAAACATCTTAGCAAATTCCATTTCAGGTAGAACTGAACTGGTAATTTCTTCAAAAATATCGTTCCACGTAGAGTGCGCTTTCAGTTAAGCCTCTAAGTTCATTTCAGTCTTAGCATTGATTCTTAAGTAACCACCGGGCAGAGTTGGTAACATCTGCCAACTCACTAAAAGCCAAGGAGACCTACTTGAAATCACTTGCCTAGTTTTAAATTGATAATGTGTTCAAGCAACTGTTAATTCATGCTAAAAAGAGTTATCATAAACAAGTTTTTTCTGTGGACAGTGGCTGCTGCAAGAAAACAATTCGAACACACTATTAGTAAATAGCTTTTCTATTTGGCTAAAAAATAAGCCACTTTATTTTCATTTTTTTATGTGTGAATAAATTCTGTGATGACCAATGTTTTATTTGTCTAATTGTTCTGACTTGCTTTCTGGTTATTTGGAAATACTGGGAACAGCATTCTCCTAATGTTGAGGTATAGCACAGCTAAAGTATGATTGCACAGTAAACACAATGCTTTGCTGTATAATGAGATAACAAAATAGTCCACATTACATTGGGCCTTAAAAGCACAGCACTTTGATGCAATTAACATGCACTAGCAATAAAAAATAATAAAATATCCACATGGCAATATTGTGGCACGTGAAGTCCTATTGGGTTTTTAATGAGATTGCCAGTGTGTGGAACAGATGAGAGCACCACGTGTGGTTTTTGTCAGAAAAATTCAACTGTGCTTTTGGAGCATGAAGTCACAGACAATATGTAAACAAATGAATAGGGCTGTGTTCCAGTGAAATTTTATTTATAGATGGTGATCTGTGTTTTGTACAGTTTTTATGTCATGAAATACACTTTTAACTGTTTTCAACCATTTTAAAATGTAGATGCCATTCATAGTTCATGAGCCGGTCAGATACAGGGGCGGGCTGAATGTCTTTTGTAGACCACAGCTTGGCAATCTGTTCTAGGCAGGCTTTGCTGAACAGATGTCAATATTTAAAGGAAATTATTTATATCTAATTGAATGAAATTACCAAATGATCTTTCTTCCCTGTCCTAAAAGAAAGGAACTTTTTGAAATAACACCAAGAATTATATTTTTTAAATGTACCATTGTATGTATGGGAGTTATAAATTAAGCAGATAAAGAAAATCTGCTCTGTGAACGTCGATGTTGTGACAGTGTATAGTCTCACAGAACATGAATGTAGGGATTCAGACATATAGTCTGAATCCAGGCCTCACTTATGGAAACTATGGCTAGTTATTTGACTTCTTTGCCCTTTTCTCTCCTCGGGTTGGAGATCATGCCTATATTGCAGCACGTTGTGGAGGATTAACAAAAATCTTTCTAATGTATTAAATAGTACATTGAGAAATTTCCATTCAAATATATTAACAAGTTCTAGCTCCTGGATTAGAATCCTTAATGGGCAAGGCTGTATACTTGTGCTGAGTACTTACTCCTCAAGAAAACCAATTTGGAAAGCCAATTTGAACAGCTTCCTTTGTCTACATTTTAAGTCAGGAGTGGCTCCGAGTTTGAGGTTTTATGCAGAATGGTTGGTGGTTTGTGGCCACTGTGACTCTCAGCTAATAGGAGAATATAAGACTCTGAAGGAAAGAGGGCCCTGATGGGCTGACGTCAAGAGGGCAGCCTCGGGACGGGGTGCTGCGGGTGAAGACTTGAACTCTGCAGGTATGTAAACCTGCAGTGGTTTAAAGTTTGTTGCTTTTGAGATGAAGTCTTGCTGTGTTCCCCAGTTGATCTCTAACTCCTGGCTCAAGCGGTCCTCCCACCACAGTAACCTGGTCTCCAGGCACGTGCTCCCATGCCTGGTTTTAGGAACCACTGTGAAGGCTCTTGCGAGAATCCAGACACCTTGGCCAGGGATTTAGCTCAGTGGTCTGCTGCCTGCCTTGGCAGCGTGAGTTCCAAAGTTCGATCCCTGGTACTAAAAAAAGAGAAAAGAATCCAAACACCCTGATTTCATAAAGTGACATTGAGAATAAACAAGTGGGACAGTGTGATAAATATTTTAATAGTAACAATAACAATTGATGGCAGATTGGATAAGGAGAGAAGGGTAAAGAATGGCTACCAGACATTCGAGCAAATAGGGATTTATTCATTTGTGTCTGAACACAGATCCAGTTCTCAGCCAAGATATAAAATTTTGTTGGCTATAGAATTTTAAATGTATATTTTAACTAACTGATGTATAACAAAGGAATACAAATCATTTTCTTTACTCATTCGTTAACAAAACCAGCTAGAAGCAATGGAATGTTAGGAATTTGCATTTTTATTTTGGTTAACATCTGATTTGGAAAAGCTTGTCTACAAGCTCTGTAATGTAGATGCACAGAAACCAGTTTATGGTATATACGTGTGTGACAGTAGACGCCGGGTTGCATTGGCACTGAACGTTTAGATCTTGAGCTGGACTTTCATGTCTATCAAAACCAATGTCTAGTGCTCACTGTGGAGCACTCTCAAAATACCAGTTTTACGGAACGTGTCATAATACCAGACTCTCAAAGAGTAATTGGCTATGTAAAAAGAGTTTGAAAGTGGTTTCTTATAGCAGAAGAGGAAGGATTTCTTTCATTTTAACACAAGTTTATAATTTAATCATTTTATGTCAGTAATTTTACACAGTGCCTGAAGAAAAGCTGATGATGAGCAGGAAATATTAACAAAACTTAAGTTTCAAATGATTATGCTTAAGCTTTGACATTTTTCAGAATCATCCAGGCTCTTAGTGGTTCCATTTTCTCCGAAATGAATGGCCACCTGTGAGCAGCCTCCTCAGTCTGACCAGAGGCTACAATAGTCCACTTTCTCACCTCCCGTACGGGACATCATCTCTACAAAGGCCTAATCTGCAAAGCCCCTTCTCCTTTCCCGCCCTTTTGCTTTGGAATCTTGGTTCAAGACCCTGGAGTTTCTTTTCCTCCACGCCATTCTCCCTGGTAGTTTGGAACTCGCCCTCACTGAGACTTTGGTTGGTAAAGAATCAAACTCCTCCAAACAGACACACACACGCACACACCATGTCTGCATTCCTGCTCCCCGACCACTTCTCTCTCTTCAGCCAACTTTCTTGAACAGGAAATCTAAACAGTTGCTCTCTTTCTTCATTTTTTCATTGGTATCAAATTTTCACTGGAAAAATACTGAAAAAAATTAAAAATTTATGATATCTCACACACAAAAACTGTGTTAATAAGGGAACGTTTCTCCTCTCCGTCCACACCTGTCAGTTTCCTCCTGGAAGACCCTGCAAGGCTTCCTGCCTGGCAAGATGGCCACCCTTCCTCCCGGATCTGCTCTTCCGTTATTCAGAGGAATTTCACAAGCAGACTAGGAAAAATAATCACAATAGTTTTCCATTTTATTTTTCTCTTGTGTCATGAAAAGTTCTACGCTTCCATCTTTGTATGTTCTCAATAGAGAAGACAGGAAATTTACTTTTCAGTGTCCTAAATGTGAGAGGAGACACTGACCTTCAATGTCATCATGCTGGTCTTCGGTATAAGGAAATGGGGCACCAACCAGATTGAATTAGAGAGCTCAGTCATAAGCACCCTCTCATTTGGCTGTTCTCACTCATTAGGGTTTTTGTTTCCATTAAGTTTATTGGTACTTTTTAGGTATATGGTACACTTATCATTGGATTTTGTGCCTTTACATGATGTGTCTTTGTTCTTATTTTTTCCCCATTCCCCTGCCCTTCCTTTGTTAGATTTTTCATACAATTTAATGAGAGAAATCACATCAGCAAAGAAATGAGAAACATGATAATATCCAATAATCACTTTCTATTAAGTAAAATGGAAAAGCCTCTCTAAATATGTCCACTGGTGTTCTGAACCTTTTATTCACTGACCTATAAAAAGAATCTATTATTCAACTTGGGGACCTCCTCAGGAGATGGATGGGTTTTAGCCAACAAACATGTCTGATTTCTAACAATTTTTCCATTTTTTTGCTATATGTATATACCTACAAGTAGCACAGGACACAAAATTTGAATTTCAAATGAGGTGAAATGGGATAGCATTTACCATCCCAACTTTGGCTTCCAAAGTTGTTGGGCACAGGGCCTTGGAGACCATGCAGTGGGCATATTACTGAGGCAGTTCGGGCCTTTGAATGTTACAGGGCAAGGAAAGGAGGAAGGAAAAATTGGACAGGACAGCAGAATCAAGGAGGTTGTTGTGCTTATGTTTTATGATCGGAGGGAGTCTGCTGTGTTTCTGTTTTGTTTTGTTTTTCTTTTTTTACTGAGGGAAGAATCTCAGTGATGAGTAGGTGTGGGCCTAGGTATGAGAAGTGTCTTAGTTGCTTTCTTGTTGCTGGGACAAAATACCTGACACAAGTTTAAAAAGGAAAGGTTTACTTTAGTTCAGTTTGTAGAGGTTTCAGCCCACAGTTAACTGGTTCCAAGGCAGGATTACATCACAGAAGGGAAGGCCAGAGGAGACCCTTCATGGGGTGGCAGGTGGGGAACAGTCTTTCTGCTCTCTCTTTATTCCATCCAGGCTATAAGCCCATTAGCTGATGTCACCCACACCCAAGGTGGATCTTCCTTCTTCAGTAAATCCATTATCCACACCCAGAACCACGCTAAACCAATCAGTGGACTAATGCAGTGTCACCCACCCATGATCCAGACACCTCTTTATCTTTACCTTTCTCTCCTTATCCAGTCTGCCGTCAATTCTTGGTTGTTATTAAAATGTCTGTCACACAGCCCCACTCAGTCGTTTATTGTCAGTGTCACTTCCTAAAAGCACGGTGTTCGGGTTCTTGCAACAGCCTTCAACAATGTTTACATGGTGGCACGTGCCTGTAGAGGAGGTTACTGCACCGGGAGGATCGCTTGAGCCAGGAGTTAGAGATCAGCTGGGGCAACATAGCAAGACTTCATCTCAAAACCAAACAAAGAATCTGTTTCTCAAAATGTGAGCCATCCCTTCCAGCACTGTCACTGTCACTTTGGGGCAAAGACCCAGCAATCAGTGTTTAATGAATACTCCAGGTAGTTGCGATGCTTGCTAAAATTTGATAACTTCATCTAGAATGACTGTATTTTAGCTACTTGAATGTCTTTATTGAAATCTAGAGCTTCTAGGTCTCTTACATTAGTCAGGGTGTCTAACAGGCAGCAATCACGATGTTGACTGAGATAAGATCATCCTACGGCCTGATTAGGGAAAGATACACTTTTAAACTAGCACCGTTCTTTAAAGAATTTAGTTTCATTTGACCCAGCCATCCCTCTGCTGGCTATCTTTCCAAAAGAATTAAAAAGAATCATATCACAATGATATATGCGCACCTGTGTTTATAGCGGCACAGTTTGTAATAGCTAAAACTTGGAAACAGCCCATTTGCCCATCAGTTGGAAACTGGATAAAGATGTGGTTTTTCTATAAAATGGAATACTACTCAGCCATAAAGAGTGAGAAATTAGATTCATTCATAGGAAAATGGATACATTTTGAGGATATACTCCTAAGTAAAATAAGTCACATATGTAAATACCAAATAGTTTCTCCAGTGTGAAAAACTATAATAGTACACAAGATCCTAATGAGATAATTGACAATGTGAAATAGGGAGAAAACGGCTAAAGGTGTAGGGAAAGAGGGAAGGGTAGGGGAAAGGAAATAAGGGAAAAGAAAAAATATGAGAAAGTGAAAAAATGGAAACAAAGTGTTTGTACATGGGGAGGGGAGGAGGGAATGAAGGGAGGGCAGGGACAAGGGGGAAAAAAATGAGAACCAAGACCTGTCATGTAGAGGTACAGGATCCCAATGATGAACGTAACTGGACTGTGTACCTAAAATGTACCAATAAACTCAATAAAAAAAAGTTCAGTTTCTTATGAGCTGTGGAATCTAAGAAAAAAAAAGGACTCATAGCAAAACAGTCAGAATGGTTTGTAACCTAGTCATGGAACAGGCGTCCCAAGTTTTTGAGGTATTACTTTGATTATAAGCACGTCATACTGTCAGCCCACCGTCGGGGCAGGGATTTACGCACAGGCGTGCTGGCAAAAGGCAGGGTCTGAGTGTCATATCAAAGGCGACCTCCACATATGAGCAGACACTGGACAGAAGGGAGGCCGAGAGGACAGGACAAGGTCAAAGCTTAGAGAAATGGAGGCCAAATATAAACCTTTTGCATAGGACAAATAATCGTGATAGAAAAATGATGACAAGACTCAGGGACGAGGCCAAGATAAGGGATAAAAATGTGCCCCAAATCTGAAATAGTATGGTTTTGAGTACTTTTCAGTTGCCTTCACGAATGGCAATGTTTGGATCCATCCTATGAACCTGAAAGTACGGGAGTACCTCCTTGTCTGAGGGTAACGGATGCTAGGGGAAAAAAGCCACTTATGTAAATCTGAATAAAATGTAAATCATTATTTTATAGTAAATAGGGACTTTGGTGAGCCTTTAAAAAAACCAGTTTTTAAAATAATTTTATTTTTAGCATGTATAAGTTATAACTTGAAGTACCTATAAATCAGAGTTGTGTTTTTTTTGTAGTAATACCATACAAAACTGTATGGGGTAAAATATGATATTTTTACCTGGTTTTACAAGTTTCTTATAAAATAAGTCAGTTTTATAAAGTTGTTGAAGTTATTTTAATCCTGATTTTCATTTAAACTTCTTTGTTTTATTTTTTTGAGACAGGGTCTCACTATGTAGTTGAGACTGACCTGGAACTCACTATGTAGCCCAGGCTGGTCTCGACCTCACAGCAATCCTCCTGCCTCAGCCTCCTGCGTGCTGGGATTACAAACATGTGCCACCATGCCCGGCCTTAAACTTCATTTGTAGTGTGAATTCCTGAGTATTGTTTTGGGGATGGCTGAATGTGCTTTTACTAGACCTCCCCTGCCTACCAATAACAACTCTGGCACTGAAATAAGAAAAAAGCAGAAAGTCAGCGAGGGGCCAATGCTTGGAAGAAGGGGTGGCCGGGATAACTTACCCATTTTCGTGGCTTGAAGCCTGCTTTTATCATTGAAGCCTCATGGAAAAGAACAATTTTGCAATCTATGAAGGGAGCAGATAAAATGGGACTGTATCAGAGAAAACAGAAAAAAGAACTGATTGACATAAGTGTGTTACAGTGGAAATACCATTTTGTGTCACTCACATGGTTGAGGTGGATAATAAAAAATTGGATTGTTATTACATTTAAATATAATACATTGATCTGTTTCATTGTACTATATATATATCCTCTAATTTATAATAAAACATAAAAATGTATGTAACATTCTATAAATAATGGATCCAGCAATGTTTAGTAAAATTTTTTTAAAAATCCTGTTGATTTTATAGCATCTGCCCCCTAGAATCTCTATGTTAACTGTGTCTCTGAAGCTTGTAACTTTCCCATTAAGTAAGTGACACCTGTAGCCCAGTTAGGCCGTGACAGGTAGTTAACTTGTGCATGGTTTCCAGGAGCAAACTTCACTTAAATTGCAGTGGTGCCCAAACTCCTCTTCATTTAACTTTCAGCAAGTTGAATGCACCATCATCATCATCGTCTTCCCTCCAAGGTGCCTTTTTCTTCAGTTTAAAAATGCCTTGAGACCCTAATGTGAGGCTTTTACCGAACTCACAAAAGCACGTGAGTGAACTAGTCCGTCCTGTTAGGTGAGCTTCCGTTTCCTTTTGGCTATAATAAAATTTGTGTAAAAATAGGACTCCAAGTCCATTCTTGAAGGACTGGAATTTAAGGACTTATTACAAAGAATATAATAAAGCTTTGTCTTATAATGGTCCATTTTCATGAAGTATTTATAAATTGACTAGGAAAATAAATTTTTTATTAAGCTTGGCCACAAAAGGAATTTTTTAATTTGCATTTTTATCTTACCACACATTGTAGCGCATGCAGTTTCCTCTCGTCTGGAGGAGTAGGTGTGTGTGTAATGCAGCTTGTTTCATTTAATTCTCTTCCCTTCCCCACTGCCCTCCGTCCCCCTACTCTGAACCCCTCATCTCATTTACTCTCTCTGCCCTTCTAAGCTCATGTTATGACATACAATGTTCATACGCATCATGGATATTTTGTACTTACCGTGGGTATTTACTTCCCCATGACTCCTGTAGCGGGGCTGGCAGACATCAAATACTTTCCACAGTTTTTAAATCTTGCCTTGAACGCAAAACATTCTCTCTCAAGTAAAGAAGGCCAAATTTTATGCGGAATGAAAGTTCTATAAATTTCCCAAATTGTATTACATTTTTATAATGTAAATAAGTAATGTAAGCCTTCCATCCCCTAGTATGAAGATTTTTAGGACAATTACTAAGAATGAAGTATTTGAATTGATGGTATATCACAGCAGTGTGACAACACCCCCAGTCCAGGTATCCTTCAAGTTCGTGGTTGCAATTAATCAAATAGTCTGTAATTCATACCAACATTGCCTGCAACTTGTGCAATAAACCCCTTGTTACTGGAATCTGAGAGTCCCAGGAAGTTCCAGTCAATACCTAACTTCTCTGGGTGCCTCTGCTACTTGGGGTTTATCTTTTTATTTGTTAACCCAAAGAGCGATATATCCAATGACAGAAATCCAGTAGAACAGATGGTTATATAATGAACAGAAAGGCAGCTTCTGATCAGTATTTTGCACATCCTGGATAAAAATGTTCTATGCTTGGATAAATATATGCACACATATGACCTATTTCGTATAACAGATTGCCATATAAATACAAATACACTGCATGTGCTGTTTTGTACCTGGCCTTTTAATTTAAAAATCGATCCTATAAATCATTCAGTATTAACATCTATATTACTTACCGGCAAATACATTTATTGGAAAAGTTCCTAGAATTGGAATTGCTGGTTCAAAGAGCATGTGCTTTGATTTATTTGGAATATATTTTAATAGGAGTGAGACAGGTGTCTAAGATGAGCCATTTCTAGATGGATGCTAATTTCTGCTAGTTCTTTTTCCTGTTTATTTCATTAGTCTTATAGAAAAGCTGTTTTTCTTTGACCTTTATCTGCTTTTGAAAAGTATGCTTCCTAGTGTAGTTTTTCTGTCAAAGAACTTGAAGTTTTGTTTTTTCTTGAAGTACAGTAAAACCTTGGATCGGAAGTAACTTGTTCTGCAAGCGTTCCTCAAGATGATCAAACGTTTCTCATACATTTTACCTTGATAAACAAGTGATGTCTGGCATTTTGAGGCGTGTGTGACTCCAGATTTCACACAATCTCAACCTTGCGGGTTTGTGGGTGATCTTCTCCCAACAGCAAGAGCAGTTATGGAAGAGATGCCATCTGCAGAGAAGGAAGAGAGAAAGGTAGACGGGCCCCTCTCTTCAGATGAGGTTAGACAGATATATAAAATGGGGGAACCGGCAAAGTTTGTAGAAAAGCACCCGCTAAATGAAGCTGTAGTTCTGCAGATGATGAATTTGTTTAACAACAGTGCAGGGTCATCAAGCCTTTTCTATGTCTTTATCTTCTGCCTGTAACACTCGTTTGGTTTAAGAATTAGGATGATCTCATCTTGAGACTCTTGACCTAATTATATTTGTAAACCCTACCCCTTTTAAATGAGATCACATTCACAGGTTCTGGAGCCATTATTCAACCCACCACACTCACAAAAACACATACTGGGTAACATTTGAATATAAATACCCATCCACCAGTAATAAGATGGCACACAGAAAGGCAGTACACTGGCATTTATGGGACATGATCAGGAAGGTAGCTGGAATTTCACCTATTTCTTGTCCACTGAGCTCAAATGTGACAATGACCTGGTTTTTAGCACACACTAGATTTTTCAATAAAAAAATTTGCAAATTTTGCAATTGTACCTAAGGTCATTTCATTTCATAAGCAAGGAGTAATAGTTATAGTTTAGGGGATGCTCAAGTTTTTTCAATGAAGAACAAAAGAGGTTAGGAAGCCTGCCTGGATTCATATAAAGGTGATGGGTAGAACTACATTTTTCATACCTAGGTCTTTTTACCTCCAGAGCCAACCTCAAATGCAAGAGTGGCACTTACATTCCAAGGCTCCTTTGGATAGCAGTTACTTACATTATAACCTGGGTTTATGAAGCCATTATGTGCAAGTTTAATAGAAACTCAATTAGCAATATCTATGGGGTCACCTGACTCCTCAAAATAGGAGAGAATCAAATTATCTAAGGGATCAATTACTTGGTTAAAGGAGTTTGCAAAACTATTTTTACTAATGTAACTTTTCTCATTTTCTGGTTGAAAAGGGTTGCTTGTCAATTAAATTTTCAGTGGTTGTACATATTACACAATTCCAGTATGTTGCAGAGCATTAGAAATAACCTTGCTCAGTTGAAAAGGCATAGGAGAAAAGACAGGGAAGAACAATGCTGAAAACAGTAAATTAGAAACAGAGGAAAGAAAACATTTAAATTATGCTACACTGCCAAAAGCCAGAAAACATTTCACTTCCCTTGCATGAAACTGGTCTGACCTTAAAGTTCCGAAATAACAGGAAATAGTTATTTCCCTGGTAAGTGTACTGCATTTTAGGTTAGTAGCTAAGCAGAAAGCATAGCATGAATAAATATAGTTGGAAATTGTTAGGGACGATTTCTATGAAGAATGTGTGTGAAGCAGTGATATAAATGTAGGAGCTTACAGCAAAATGAAATTCATAATACAAAGGTCAAGCCTGCCTAAGAGAGACTTTAGGTAAACAGTTGGGTTGAAAAACCGATTCGCATTTTGTTTGAATAGTTGGTAACGTATGGCGGCTGAGGCCGTGGGTTTCAGTTCAGTGGATCGTATAGAATTACCCTGTGCTTGATTCAGCGGAAGCGTGTCTGACTTCTGTAGGACAATGAAAAATGACTGAATTCCCTCTTCCTGAATCTGAAGTTAATGACTAAAAACATTATCAACGAGGTGGGTTGTCAAAAAAATAGTGTAGGTACTTTATCTAGAAATGGTATTTTTAAAAATAAACACGGGTTTTTATGGGATAGTTTAGGGAGCGAGATTTATGCAGCTTTGAATTTAGGCACAGGTTGGCTAAAATTAACTGGGGAAAAAGAATCAGTGATGCTTACTTTTTAAATCTTCTGCATGAGTCTCCTGAAATTGAAGTGCTACATTTCACAACAGGGCTTACTTTTAACTGAGAAGACTGGCTGTGGTTACAGAATTGTAGGATCTGAAGACCCTTAAATGTCTAAACTGGTGCATGGCCATCAAAGTAGTCTTCACCTTTGGGCTTATTTACTTAGTTCATAAATTGTTTATTAATTTGGAATTTATTGAATTCATACATTTTTCAAACACCTAAAATAGATGCTAGCCACTTTTTAGGACATAGTGATTCAGAGGAATAGTTTCTACCTTCAAGGCTGTTTAGAGATGTGGGTGTGGAGAAACAACTGTGTATGCCGGTTACAACTCTGAGGGCTTGGGGCGCACAGTTGGGATTGAGACCAATTGCTATCACCCAGCCCTATCAGTCAGGGGGAGGAGAATTAGAAAAAGCATCTAGGAGGAGGTACAGTTTGAGGAGGAAAGCTACTTCATCTTTAGGCCTGTTTCTTTGTTTTTAAAATACTGAGCAGCTACCACCTGTTCTTCACAATGTATTGTAGCAATCGTGTGAAGAAAGCCCAGAATTTGGCGGTACTCGTGTTTTTTTTTTTGGCACCAGAGGTCGAACTTGAGTCTTTGTGCTTGTGAGGCAGGCGGGAGCACCACTGAGATAAATCCCTGGCCCCTCCGTGTTTTTATTATGGTCATTGTAGATGATTTTTGTTCTTCTTCTAGCCTGAAATACATGAATTCAAAAACCTGAATAGGAAAACAAACAACTATATACACCAATTTAATTCTTAGGCCAGCTACTAAAATGGTCAGTGCAACTTATCAAGCACTTAGAATATGGAAGAGGCATATATTAGTTTTCTACTACTGCTGTAAAATATTACTACAAAATTTATGGCATAAAGCAACACAGGTTTATTATTTTACATTTTTATTATAGGTCAGAAGCCTGAAATCAGTTTTAAGGCTAAAGTCAAGAGTCAGCAGGGCTGGCTGGTTTCTTCTGGAGGCTTTGAGGAAAATCTGATCCTTATTTTTCCCAGTTTTTGGAGGCAGTCCACATTCATTGGCTCATCATGGTGTTATTCTAATGTCTGCTTCCATGATCACAGCAATTTTTCCTCCTTCCAGTCTCCTTTTCTTTTTTTAATAAGGACACTTGTGATTATGTTGGCCTACCTGGATAATTCTCATTAATCCTGTCTCAAGACGCTTGACTTAATCATGTCTGAAGATCCCCAGAGTCATATAAAATAATATTTGTGGATTCTGGGGACTAGGATGTGAACATCTTTGGGCTACCAGTCAGCTCAATGGTGCTGCCACCTGCCTGTCATGAGCAAGGTCCCAAGTTCGATCTGCAGTATATATATGGCCTCAATATGCATCTATTTAGCTATAATTGTCTCTAGTTTCTCATTCTTTATTGCTGAGTGGTACTATTTTATATTAAGAAAAAAAAAACATGTTTTCTCTATCCATTTTCCACTGATGGGCAATTGGGCTGCTTCCAAGTTTTGCTAGCACAAATTATGCTGCTATGAACATGGGTGCACATGTATCGCAGTGGTATGATTCTTTTAATTCTTTGGGGAAAGATACCCAGCAGGGAAATAACTGGATCAGATGGAACCTCCAATTCTAGTTCTCCATACTGATTTCCACAGTGGTTGCCCCAGTCTGCACTCCCACCAGCAGTGGAGCAGGGCTCCTCTTTCCCCACAGCCCCCAGCATTTGCTATTGGTTGATTTCATGATAGCAGCCATTCTTTCTGGGGTGAGGTGGAATCTCAGTGTTGTTTTCATTTGCATCTCTGAAATGACCAGTGATGTTGAACATTCTTTCATGTTTATGTGCTATTTCTTTGTCTGAGAAATGTCTGTTCATTTCAGATGCCCATTTTTGGATCGGATCTTTAAATTTGGGAGGTCTGATTTTTTAAAAGTTCTTTATATATTCTAGATAGTAGACCTTTGTCCCAGGAAGAGCTGGTGAAAAAATTTTCCCACATTGTGGATTATCTCTTCATACTGTTGGTGGTTTCTCTTGATGTACAGAAGCTTTTTAATAAGACATCCCACTTGTTGATTGTGCTAGGCAACTGAGGTTTTGTTCATAAAATCTTTTCCTTGACCAATGTCTTCAAGAGTTCGCCCTAAACTCTTTCAGCCTGTTTAGTGTTTTTGCTTTAATATTTAGTAAAAGGTGAAAGATTTATGCGATCTGAAGAGAAACCAGAGTATTGCTTTAATATTTAGATCTTTAAACTATTTTGATTTTGGTTTAGTGCATGGTGAGAGAAATAGGTCATTTTAATTTTAGAGAAAATATATTTTGAAGATAACCATCATAAACATGTTACAATAACATATTTAGAATTCAGCCTTTTGATGATAACCAATGTAAACATTTTTAACAACATATTTAACAAGGCATATCTTTTTATAAGGCTATGAAAATAATTTGGGCGGCTCCCACTAGTGAACAAAGATCAGAATAAATTTTCTGAGCAGCTGCATCTTTATTTACCAACAGGAGTGTATCCAAATTTAAAGTTTATATTTAATTATCTTTTAAGTTTTTTATTTAATCCTATAAAGCCAGGTTGTAGAAATCAACAACCCATTTGCATTTGAAGTCATTTGGATCAAAAACATAACTGGACATTTTTTGAACATTTAGAGAGACATTGGACAAACACTTTTGAACATTTAGAGAGACAAACACGTAAGACAATTTAAACTAGCATGCACTCAGATGGTTTTGGCCAATTGAATTATAAAATCTTTTCGTTATAACTAGTCAAAATTTTTGTAGGTCAAAATTAACAGAGATCTCTTGTAGAATTAGGGTTAAAGGAATGAAAGCTCTTTTTGACTGTAAATGTAAACCTTTTATAACAAACTTGAAACCAACAAGCAAACTATTTTATAAATAAATAATTTCCACACACCTTCTCTATATACTTAGGCCTTCTGGTCTTGTATATCTTTCTTTACCTGTTTTTAACAAGACAAACATACAAGAAGCTTTCATGTCAAAAGTATAAGTTTTACTTATAGCTTTCCTAATATTTTTCTATCTCATTTACTATTAACCTTCTATAACAAACTTTAGCTTAAAATATCCTTTTTGTTTTCAGATTGTTACATCTTAAAATTTGACTGGCTGCCAACAGAACAGTATTAACCTTGAATTTTTAGAAAAGAACCAGTTAACCCTATAATCGCAGTTTAAGAATTTGTAATGCACAAGAAGTGTTACCAAAACTAAATAGTTTTCACTAGCAGCTGACTGTCACAGAGCAGAAGTTTGAGCAACTCTTAGGCTGGGTTGTTTTGAAATCTTTCTTAATTATGTGGAGGCCAAAGTCAGCTGTAGTCTGACGGACCTCCTGGAAATGATTTCAAGTCAAGGTGAGGGGGTAGATGAGCTCCTTTTCATCCTGTCAGAAAATTCAGAATAAGCGAACAAACAAGGGAACAAAAGAGGCCAAATAAGATATAGGACCAAGGCATACGAAAACCAAACTGAAAGAAGAACCAGAGGTCTCACTAGTGGTTTCCTCTAGATTTTATTTTTTTGAAAACCAAAAGGACAGTGTCCTGACCAAGGGGGTTTGGGACGTCTCCCAGCCCCTGTGGCACAGAGTCCATTAGCATGTCTGCCTGGATCTCTGGGCCTTCAAAATGATCTGGATCACAAGTTACCAATTAATAATTGTCAGACATTAACAGGAAGAGAAAGACACAGTAAAAAAAAAAAAAAAAAAAAAAAAAAAAGGAACAAGTACTCACCGATTGGTTTGTAAAGTTTAAGGGCTCAACACATTAGGGGTCTTTTAGGGGCAGTGTTGATCTCTAGCAAGCATCTCATAATTAGCATTTAACCCTCTCTGTGTCCCATTTTTGTTTTTGTTTTTTTGACATTGTTTTCCAAATTAAAACTTTCACAAAAGTAACCCCCCCCAGGCAAGCTTTAGCTATTTGTTTTCAATCAAAAGGAGGTAAAGCATCAGTTGTCAGATAATCAAGCATTGCTAAAGTAAAAGGGGCTGTTGGTCTATATTGGGTGCAAGCCATTTTCAATTCTTTTAATTGTTTTGATGAACGAGGTTTTCCTGAGCATCTCGAGTGTCAAAGACTGGGCAGATAAGGGAAAATCCAGATAAATCTTTCTCAATATTTAAAGCTTGTTGTGACCCTAGTTGCACAGAGGACAAAAGAGGTTGAGAATTGATCCTAACAGGTTTTTTAACTTTTAAGGGGCCCTGAAGCTACAGCAACCAAAGAGGACTCTTTTTTTTTTTTTTTTTTTAATGTCTGGGATCCAAACTATCTCTGATGAGAGTCCACAAACTAAAAGTATCCATGGGTACCTTGCTAGGTCTGTGTGCAGCATAATAATCCTGTAGTTGTTTTCCTGCCTTACTACAAGTATCTAAGTTTACAGTGCCTTCTTCAGGGAACCAGGGACAAATTATTTCTACAAATTCTAAAAAATTAAACAATTGCTGTTGCCCTACTCTAGCACCACCGACACGCAATAAATCTTTAAGCATATGTACAAAAAGCACGCAACTATTGCCGGCTCCCATTTTTAATATTTACAAGAAAATTCACTGCTTCTTACCTTTTCGTTGAGGCCTCGTTCTCTCTGCGGTGTCCTTCACTGAATCCCTCGATACTCAGGCCCCACGTTCGGGCGCCACTTGTGGTGGTCCAGCCGTCACAACACGAATATGCCTGAGTTGGGGAGTGAGGATTGAGAAAGGAAAGAACACTCAAGCTTGAGTGGAGACCAAGAGAAGTCTGATTTATTTCACAGAAACAGCTCCTTTTGTAGGTTCACATCAACAGGAAGCACCTGACTCCTACAAATAACATCAGACCTTTAACAGGAAGCACCTGAATCCTACAGATAACGTCAGATCTTTGGCTAGCTCTTTGAGTTCCTCCCATCACAGGGTCAAAAAACAAGTTTAACATGTGGAGTCCTTAAAAAGGAACAAATGTTAACAAATGCTAATTAGGAACATCCTGACCACACATTGTGTCAATGCTTTGGTTATAAAGAAAGAAGTTATCTTTCAAATGTCAAATGCCAGTGGGCCATGACTGGCTCCCACAGGATTTGTCCTGCCCTTCTTTTTCTAGAAGCTTGAAGTTCAGCATCAGGTTGTTTAATTGAGCTAAGTTTGTTTTCCTATTATGAGTATTCACTGTTATGAATTCCCTTCATAAGACTGCTTTCATTTTGTCCCATAGATTGTGATATGTTGTATTGTTGTTGTCAATTGTAGAAATTGTCTGATGTCTTCTTTAAGTTCCTCTGTGACCCATTGGTTCTTCAGAGGTGTGTTGTTCAATTTCCATGTGTTTATGGAATTCTTGCCATTTCTTTTGCTATTAATCTCAAATTTCATCACAGGACGGTCTGATAATATACAGGGATCACTTCAATTTCTTTGCACTTTCTTAAACATGTTGTGTGAGTGAGTGTGTGGTCTATTTTGGAGAACAACCCTTGTGCAGCTGAAAAGAATGTGTTCTGATATTGTGGGGTGTAAATATCTGTGAAGTTCACTTGTTCAAGTGTTTGATTTAGTTAGCATATTTCATTCTTTATTTTTTGTGTAGTTGATATATCTAATTGTGACAGTGGGGTATTGAGATCCCCCACTACTATTTGATTTTTTTTTCTTGGTACAGGGGATTGAACTTGGGTCCTTGTGCTTGCAAGGCCCACTATTATTGTATTAGTGCTTATTTGATTTTTTTTCATGTCTGTTAGTATTTGTTTTATATAGTTGGGCACACTTGTATTTGATACATATATATTCATGATTGTCAACTCTTCCTCTTGGATTGTCCCCTTTACAAAGATGTAGTGTTCTTCTTTGTCTCTCTTAATCAGCATTGGTTTGAAATCCTCTTGAGCTGGAAAGAGGACAGCTACTCATGTTTTTTGGGGAGGTTTCTGTTGCATGGAATATTGGTTTCTACCCTTTAACTTTCAGTCTATGAGTTTCTTTTTGAATTAAGCATGTTTCTTGTATACAGCATATTGTTGGACCTTGCTTCTTGACCCATTCTGCCAGTCTGTTTCTTTTGATTGGTGAATTGAGACAATTAATATTGATAGTTATGACTGATATGTATTGACTTATCCTTGTCATGATCTTTTTCTTTTTGTTGGATTCTCCCCCTTGTATTTAATTTCTTGTCATGCCTGATGGATTCCTTCTGCTGTGCTTTCTTGGCTTGTGATCCTTATTGTGTTTTCCTAGATATTATTTAAAATTTTTTGGAATGCTGGTTTGGTATTCATGACCTTCCTAAGGTTGCTCTTTGTCATAAAAATATCTTATTACTCCATTGATTTTTAAAGATGGCTGTGCAGGATACACCAATCTGTGTTGGAGGTTGTTTTCCTTTAGAGCTTAAAATACCTCATTCCATGCTCTTCGTGCCTTGTGGGTTTGTGCTGAGAAGTCTTCTGTGATTCTGAAGGGCTTTCCTTTGTAAGTGGTTTGTTTCTTTTCTCTAACTGCTTATAGAATTTTGTTCTTCTGTTGGGTTTCTGGAATCTTAACTATTATATGCCTATGTGTGGATTTTTTTAATCACAGCTAGTTGGAGTCCTACATACCTCACTTATCTGTATGTCAAGTTCTTTCCCCGTATTTGGGAAGTTTTCTGTCATTACTTTTGTGAACATTTTTTTTTTTTTAATGTTGTCTGCTCTCTCCTGTTTCTTCATTGACTCCAATCAGTCTTAAGTTATTCTTTGCATCATCTAGCAGCTGCTGGAGTGATTTCTCATGGTTCCTTACTGCTTTTAAGAAATTTTTATTTTCCTAGTCATTAATTTTAATCTTATCTTCTATATCTGCAATCCTGTCCTCAAACTGGCTCATTCTACTGTGTAAACTTTCAATGGAGTTTTAAATCTGGAAATCTGTTTGCATCTGTTTTACGGTTTCCATTTGTTTCCTATGTTGGGATTCCATCATGTTCCTCAGCTTCTCTAGTTTTTTAAATCTGTGTTCACTTTAGATGTATTAATCATGTCTTTCACTATGGGCAAAATCTCTGCTGTTATCTGGGAAGTTACTTCTGATTTCATTTTTTCCAGATCCTCTTTTGTTGCCAGTTCAAGGAGTCCAAGGTCATTGAGTATCAGATTGTCCCATCTTCTTTCCCTTTGGGGTTGCCTTAGGTGATCTGGAATTCTGGTTTTGAGACTTGTTTATGTGTCTTCTTATTTCAGCATATGCAGCCTTCCATGCCTTTGTTGAGGCAACTTTTTTCTCACCCAGTGGTGAGCCACTGAGTGGCCTTTTCTCTGCTGCTCACCAGTACACCAATTCCTGGGTTCAGAATGGTGGCCTTCTGGATCTCTGAGCTGACCTGTTTTCTGGTGGCCTCTGGCCAGGGCCTGTGCACACATGGGATGGTATCTAGGTGTGCCTCTCACTGGGGCTCCTAAGTAGCTGTTGTCTCAAAGGGCCTTTGGCTGGGGGCTGTGCTCCCCTGTTCCTGTTGTCTGAGCAGGCTTCTTGCTAGGGTGTCTATGCACTTACCAGTGATATTGGGGTGAGCCTCTGGCTGTTGCTTGTGAGCCTGTGTACCTCTTTTTCAATTGGGCTCTTGGCAGTGGCCTGTGTGCCCAAGTCTCTGGGGTCAGGGTGGGGCCTGGCTGGGAATGACCTTCAGCTGCACCACTCTGGTCCACAGCTGTTCCCTGGGAGCTGCGTGCACTTAAGGATGCTATGGGGAGGGCCTCTGGCTGAAACTTGTGTACCTGTGTAGCTCTTTTCTGGTCAGGGCTGCCTGACTAAGACTGACACTTGCTCAAGACTCTGGGGCTGCGGCTGAGCCCTAGCTGGGCTCTATCTGCCTGCAGCTCCACCTCTCTGGTCCACCTGTACTATCATCTTTTTTTTTTCTTTTAAATTGAATTTATTGGTACATTTTAGGTAGACAGTACAGTTACATTCATTACTGGGATCTTGTACCTTTACATTCCAGGTCTTGGTTCTCATTTTTTCCCCTTGTCCCCACCCTCCCTTCACTCCCTCCTCCTCCTTCAAACACTTTAATTCCATTTGTATATTTTCTCATATTTTTTCCTTTTCCCTTATTCCCCTTTCCCTATCCTTCTCACTGTCCTTACACCTTTGGTCCTTTTCTTCCTATTTCACATTGCTAATTGTCCCATTAGGATCTTGAGTACTATTTTAGTTTTTCACACCAAAGAAACTATTCAGTATTTGCATATGTGTGACTTATTTATTTCACTTAGTATATCCTCAAGATGTACCCATATATCTATAAGTGAACGTACTTTCGCATTCTTTATGGCTTAGTAGTATTCCATTTTATAGAAAAACCACATCTTCTTTGTCCAGTTTCCAACTGATGGGCAAATGGGCTGTTTCCAAGTTTTAGCTATTACAAACTGTGCCGCTATAAACATGGGTGCACATATATCACTGTGGTATGATTCTTTTAATTCTTTTGGAAAGATACCCAACAGAGGGATGGCTGGGTCAAATGGAACCTCTAATCCTAGTTCTTTGAGGTATCTCCATATTGACTTCCACAGTGGTTGCACCAGTCTGCACTCCCACCAACAATGGAGAAGGGTTCCTTTCTCCCCACAACCATGCCAACATTTGTTATTGTGTGATTTCTTGATAGCAGCCATTCTTTGTGGGGTGAGGTGAAATCTCAGTTGTGTTTTCATCTGCATCTCCCAAATGACCAGTGATGTGGAGCACTTTTTCATATATTTACTTGCTGCTTTTATTTCTTTGTCTGAGAAATGTCTGTTCATTTCAGATGCCCATTTTAGAATTAGGTCTTTATATTTTGGGGGGCTGGTTGTTTTGAGTTCTTTATATATTTTAAATAATATTCCTTTGTCTGAGGAGCAGCTGTAAAAAATTTTCCCCACATTGTAGGTTGTCTCTTAGTTTGGTTGATGGTTTCTTTTGCAGTGCAGAAGCTTTTTAATAAGATGAGATACCAGTTGTTGATTCTTTCTGCTAGTTCCCGTGCTACTGAGGATTTGTTCATAAAGTCTTTTCCTATGCCAATGTCTCTTTCAGAGTGCTGCCTAACTTATCTTCCAGCAAGTTTAGTGTTTTTGTTTTTAAATTTAGATCTTTAATCCACTTGGATTTTAATTTAGTGCATGGTGACAGATAAGGGTCTAGTTTTAATCTTTTGCAGGCTGAGATCCAGTTTTTCCAACACCAGTTATTAAAGAGGCTATCTTTCCTCCAGTGGGGACTATCAGCTCCTTTGTCAAAGATGAGGTAACTGAGTGCATCTGGAGTTGTTTTTGAGTCTTCCAATCTGTTCCACTGATCCTCAGGTCTGTTTCTTTGCCAGTACCATACTGTTTTTTATGACAGTGGCTTTGTAGTATAGTTTCAGAGTGGGAATTGTTATACCTGCTGCCATGTGTCTGTTGCCTAGGATGGCTTTTGCTATTCTAGGTCTCCTATGGTTCCAAATGAATTTTTGGATTCTTCTTTCTAGTTCTGTGAAGTATAGTTTTGGAATTTCAAGTGGTATTGCATTGAATCTGTATAGCAATTTTGGTACTATGGCCATTTTCACTATGTTGATTCTTCCTACCCAGGAGCAGGGGATATCTTTCCATTTTCTTATATCCTCTTTGATCTCTTTTTTCAGAGTGCTGTAGTTTTCAGTGTAGAGGTCTTTTGCTTTTT